GTTCCCGGGCATTCTCGCGTGTATTAGGACTAAGCAGAACACATAAAGGAAATGTTAGCGCGCGCGAGCATCTCCAAGAAGTTTTTGTTCCCGGGCATTCTCGCGTGTATTAGGACTAAGCAGAACACATAAAGGAAATGTTAGCGCGCGCGAGCATCTCCAAGAAGTTTTTGTTCCCGGGCATTCTCGCGTGTATTAGGACTAAGCCTTGAAGGAGGTGGGAAACTCACTTCCCCGAGCTTTCCTGCTGTCTCCGAGGCTTAGTCCCCTGGTTGCTTTTCTTTTCCCTCCCTCCCCCTGTCCCTTTCCTCTGTTCCTGTTCCTTTTCTTCATCTACCCCTATGTGTAAAGTTCGACGAAAAATAAACTTTTGGGATTTGTGGTTGTAAAAGTTGAATGCTGCCAAATATCAAATTTCGAATTCTGTGCTACTGGCAAAGGAAAACACGAATTCAAAACGAAGCTAGCAGGAGATTGATGATAAAATGATGTGAAAAACGAATTCCGAACCAACCTAAACGGATTGAATCCTCCAAAAAAAAAGAAACAGCGAATTTAAGTCCTCCAAAAAAACGAAACAGCGACGAGAGTCTGTTCTCGACGTTTCCAACTGCTGGAAGAAAAGAAGAATGCATTCAGCGTGCAGCGTACTGACGTTCTCAACACATTGACGACCAATTCCACCCGAATCCTGCCCGTTTTGTTTGGAAGTTGGAAGTTGTCGTCAATGTGTTGTTGGTTTAAAATACCGAGTGAGCAAAACCGAATTTCCAAAAAAACATTTAGACTTTGAAAAACCGAAAGCAGCAATAGAGTGCAAAAAGATTATGCAAAGTAAATAATTGTGATTGAGATGCAATGTTTTGATAAATGTGGAAAAAGTGACCAGTTCCACCCGAATCCAGCCCGTTTTTTTTTATTTGATTGGCATTTTCATATTTTAGAGCAGTGAGTGTGCATTATCTTATTAGAAAAAGTGTGCATCATCAGTAGTGAAATTATTGGAAGTAAGAGCTGTCGTCAATGTGTTAAGTTGGAAAATACCGAGTGAGCAAAACAATTTCCAAAAGAAACATTCAGACTTTAAAAAATCGAAAGCAGCAAAACAATTTTATTAGGAACACTTGGACTTTTCAAAAACGACACTTGTCCACTGAGCAGCAATGTCTACTCAGATAGAGAAAACCAAGAATGCTTTCGAAAATCCAGTAAATGGGCCTGAAAATGATGAAAACAATAACAAGTAGTAACCCGCCGCCGAATAAGAAGTGACAACAAATTGAAAGAGTAATAATTAAGATTGGGCAAGCATGGACGTGTTTTAGGCTGGTGTCAGAGTCCGCGATCGGCCGCAGGTTTCGCTAATTTTAGCAAATTTAGCAATTTGCGCGACTTTAGCTGCGATTTTAGCTATTTGCGCGATTTGGGCGGAACCCGCGATGGATCGCAAAGTGGCTGCAAGTTCCCCGTGTGAACATTTGAAACACTGGATATGAAAGAAACACAAGTGGAAGCGATGAGCGGTCGTCATTCAGTCATCCAGCTCCAGCAAGCAGAACTGGCGGCGAGAACAACTTGCAGTATGCGGATCCGGAACTTCGTTGGATTCTGTATGCCTTTTCGCCGGAATCGCTCATTGGCCGATGTCAGAGTCTGCGATTGGAGCGATCGGTCAAATGCCAATCGCGCGACCATCGCGCGATTCGCGCGACGATCGCGCGATTGACATGAGTCCCATCATGACCAATCGCTCCAATCGCGCGATGGGCGCGATCACTCCCGTTGTGGCTGGCGCGCCCCTCTCGATCGATACGTTGACTGAGCTATCGATCGAGAGGGGCGCGCCAGCCACAACGGGAGTGATCGCGCCCATCGCGCGATTGGAGCGATTGGTCATGATGGGAGTCATGTCAATCGCGCGATCGTCGCGCGAATCGCGCGATGGTCGCGCGATTGGCATTTGACCGATCGCTCCAATCGCAGACTCTGACATCGGCCAATTCGTCGCTAAAATGGCCCAATCGCTGAAATCGCGAAAATCCGTGAAACATGCAACGGACCACGGACTTTGACACCAGCCTTCACGGTTACGGGGCAGTGGTCAACCAACGCGTAAGAGTCCAGACAGAAAAGCACAAATTTTGTGTTTTCTGGGACTAAGAGCTGGATGTCGGTGGAACTGATCACTTTTTCCACATTCATCAAAACATTGCATTGCCCAATCACAATTATTTACTTTGCATAATCTTTTTGCACTGTATTGCTGCTTTCGGTTTTTCAAAGTCTAAATGTTTCTTTTGGAAATTGTTTTGCTCACTCGGTATTTTCCAACTTAAGACATTGACGACAGCTCTTACTTTCAATAATTTCACTACTGATGATGCACACTTTTTCAATAAGATAATGCATGACTGCTCTAAAATATGAAAATGCCAATCAAATAAAAAAAAACGGGCTGGATTCGGGTGGAACTGGTCACTTTTTCCACATTTATCAAAACATTGCATTGCCCAACTCACAATTATTTACTTTGCGCTGCTGCCCTTGAACGAGCCTTAGTGACGTGTTGTGCCTACGGGTTCACAATGGGCGAGCACAAACCAAAAAGAAGCCAAGAAAGACGAAAAAAAAAACGAAAAAACGGAATCAAGAGTAACCTTTTTTCAGCGACGATTCCTCAGAGACCTGATTTATTGTTTGACGGCGACCTGTGCCTGTTCAGAAAAAAAAAAGAAACAATTTGCTATTATTTCATGAACTTTACACTTTCACTTATTGGGAAACTCAAATAACAGCACTTTGCACCATTCAACCTCAGTTTCCCAGTAAGGTTAGCTCAAATCCCATTAATTGGATTCATTTGCGAAGAAACCATACGCTTTTCAAGTCAAAGCGCTGCCCTGCCGTCTCTGTGCAGGGAGGAGGGCTTGTTCTCACAGCTGATCTTTTCCAGTGAAGTGAAGTGAAGTGATTGGTGTCACGACTCAGCGTTCACAGCAGTTTAGGAGCTTCGCGCGACACAAAAAGTGAAAGAGCATAGTCGCAGACACAGAAACGGCAGAACGCGAATTTCAATGAAGCACTATTGCAAACATGCTCTCAAAACCACGCGAAACATTCCGTTTTCTTCAAAAGAGGGACTAAGCCTTGCAGGTGGAGGAGGAAACTCTCAGGTAGGCCGTAAGGCCATTATTACATTTTTCCTTTGGAAATTTTGCCCTTCTGCACTTGTTGGTTATTCTCAGGAGATGTCCTCTCATGCGTGCGACCGAGCACCGTAAATGGTGTTGCACATTCTCCTCCTCCTCCTCCTGAACATAAAGCTTAGTCCCCCGACTTCAACAAAAAAACCGATGTTTCACGCAGCTTTGAATGAACGCAGCTGCGATAGCGCGACTTCAACAACGAACTAATGTTCTGAGAGGTTTCGAACGAACGATGTTGCGATAGCGGCGCTTTCAGAGTGACTCGTTTTCACTATCGAGAACGGGGGGACTCGCACCCGACTCTACAAGAAAGTTGAAGGAAAATGAAACGAAAACGAAACATGAACAGGCAATAATTAAGCGATATTAAAGGAAATTCCTTCCTCACATAGCATACAGGAACAAAGTAGTCAAAAAAACCTTTATTGAAACAGAAACAAGGAACGAACAACAAACATCTTCATTCACATGATAGAACACCTTACTTCTATTAAAAACCTACTTCTTCTATTGACGGTGACCGAACGGGGTTCAGGATCGAGCCTAAAACTGCGAACAAATAATGAGTATGAAAACAGAAGAGGAGAAAATGTGAAACAAATCATCAAAGAAACAGGTGGACGAGATTCAGCGCTGAAAACAACAAAAAAATCATACTCCTTACCTCTTTTTGGTGTTCCGTCCGGGTGTGGCGCATGCAGTGCCAAGGAAAACCTGCAAACCTGAAAATAATCAATGATCAGGTATAAAGGAACTGCTGGCCAGAGCACAGAGGCTCATTCAGGACGGAGAAAGGAATGTATGACGCGTATCGTGAACGACAACACCACCCAACTTGCAGGGGAACAGAATTTGGGACTAAGCCCCTGGAGAAGGAGGGAAACCCCAGGTGCGTGAAACTTGCGCGCGCAGAAGACGTGGAACTTGAGGAAGGAGGGGCAAGAGCAAAAAGAAGGCAAGAGCAAAAAGAAGGCAAAAGCAAAAAGAAGCATTCTACCAGAGTTTTTCGCTGCTGCGCGTGTGCAGCAGGTGCGGAACTTGAGGAAAAAGATGCCCAGCAAGACTGAACTTCATTTTCAGGACTTTGCGCGCGCGCAAAAAGGCCAACGCATGCAAAAGAGGGCCTAGATGGGCTGTCGCTTGGTCCTTCGGAATTTGTGCAGGTGCGCAAAGTGCGAAATGTGGAGCGAAAAGCGAAAAGAAATTCAGGGGCCACTAGAAAAGAATGTGAAGAAGTGCTGCAAGTGTATGGGAAATCATTCAGTGGGAACGCGTTTGGGACTAAGCCTTAGTGAGAGGGAGGAGACTCCGGATGCATGGATAATCCATGTTTTCCCGAGGAGACCCCGGATGCATGGAAAATCCATGTTTTCCCCGAGGAGACCCCGGATGCATGGGAAATCCATGTTTTCCCCGGGGAAACCCGGATGCATGGAATTCCATGTCTTCCCCGGGGTGTTGTTCTCCCTTGCCGTGGGGCGAAAAAGGGGAATGCGTACGGGACAGCGAAAAACATCAAGGCATCTTTGTTGAAAATGAGTCACTTGACATGCGTGAAAAACTGGAATGTTCATCGAGAAACTGCATCATAGTGCCCTCCCTGACCGGAATCGACCCCAAACCCTCACACTGACACCTCCACAATGGCGAAAGAATTAGGGTCAAAATACGGGTTCATACAGGAAAAAACAAACATGACACATCTATATATCATGAAAAATAAAATGAAATGAGGGCCTACCGCGGTTAAGAAAATGAAAAAGCGAAAAGAGCATACCTCACATAATGAGAACTGACTATTCCAAGTTGCAGTAGAAGAAAGGAGCCTCTGCTGTAATACCTGCTGCAGCCTAAATCAATTCCAATTTTCGCAGTGCGAAGAAAGTGAGTGGATGAGCCAACTCGTTTTTCCTACTGCAACTTGGAATAGTCAGTCATTGTGCTTAAGGGAAGCGCTCATAATCGAAGAAGTTCGGGTTAAGTCCTAGAAAACGTGCGAATTTCGGTTGACTTGCGTGGTGATGAAACACTAAAGTCACCAGCAAGCCGCTGGCTCAGCGGTGCTTACGAGGTAGTTGACTGTGTTGATATTTTTCTTTTTTATTTTGATCAACGTTCCATGCAGGGTCAAGCGTGCGGTGAGGAATCCTCGACATGTAACAGAGGGGGGGGGGGGGGGTCGTATTGGCCCGCTGGTGAGAGATACGGGCCCGGAACGCGGATAAATCTTGGAACGATTCCGTCGACGTGAAATAAAACATTCTGTCGCAAAGTGCACTAGAGCATCCTATCTCACGTTCGAGTCTTGAAGTAGTCATTAGGTTCAAGATTTAGTCACAAGATAGGAATTATTTTGACTTAAGAAGGCAAGGTAATTTGTTTAGTTGTATGGATGATTCCGAGTCAGCTAGTACAGTACAGCTGGTCCGTCAAAAGTTGCAAGAAGCACCCACTACCTTCAAGAAGACGGCAGACACACCTTTTACTTTGTGGAACCAGCCTCATGCGCACGAGTTTGGAAATGAAAATAATCGTGGGTGTCTCTGGGTTAAAATACTGTCCAAAATTCCCAGCCCTAGCTCATTCCAATTAGGATAGATAACGTAAACAGTGACAATTATGAGTTGATTCATACGAAGTTCGGAAAAAACACACGGTAGACCATTGAGAATGCGACAAATTAAGAATCAGTGTCGCAACTTTCGCATACGCATACAGAAGGCCTACGGACTATCGGAGTATTGGAGACTACTGGATCGGAGAATATCGCCCAAGCCTACGTTCTCTCGCCCCCACATCAGTTAGTGATTACTGTGGGCTCACATTCGGATACTTTAACCACGTGGTAAGTGCCTCATTCACCTCTGCAGTCCACTCCTCCAAGGTTAAGCTTTTATCCTTCCACTTTGGCATCAAAGACACAGTTGCAGTTTTCGGAAGATACCTAATGCGTACACATTGCTCTGGTGGTACCAATTAAAAACCGACCAAACGCGAGCATACTGGACTTCCAAAAAACTTAACTTTAAGTCTGACACTCTAACATCAAGTTGGAATACTCAAACAGGTAAAATAAGTAGTGATACTTCCCTTCACTTTGAGATGACGATGACATTCTCAGAAAATTAAACATTTAAATTCATCCTAAGAGTACCCTCATCACAAAAAGGACTATTATGACAATCACATCCAGCTGTGGTTATCTACCCGGTTGAAGCGCTTGGAGCTTTACCACTCCTAATTTACTAGCATGGTCAGAATGTAAACTCTGACGAAAAAGAGTTGTGTCTTATACTAAAAGTCTTACCGAACCCACCAACATTTCATCACAAGCAATTTCCACACGGTGGTATGGCACCGTGATGAACCATATCGCTGGCAGCAAACGAACTTGCGTTTTTTGGCACAAAAATCAATGAGCGATAAAGCTGAGCAGTACATACAATTCTTTTCCCGGTTATTCTTTTGGTATTGATTTTGGATACTACTACGGAACTAGTAATCATCGCTACAAAATATCAAAGATCGTATAACT